ATCGGCTCCATCGGAATCATCCGCTGTCCAACGTTGCCGTTGGGACCAATAGCTCGCCCGTCTAGGGTCCAGGTCTTATCCTGGCCCACGAACCAGGTCACGTTGCCTACCGCACCCGGGGTATACTCGAATGCATAGACCTGGTACTCGGTCCCATTATACCAGCGGTTGTTGAGGTTGGTCAGGCCAGACATAGCCTGCTGGTACGGCCCGCCCCGATAGGAATTGATCTCGGTGATACGAGGGTCGTACACGGCAGTGTAATCTGCAGGTTGTTAGAACAGATATGACCAGGCACATGCTGTCAGCAGCGTTAGGCACCTACCGTAGTCAGGCATGTACCAGATGTCAAATGGAGCCATTTGCAAACTCTGGGACGCAGTTCCAATGAAAGCGTTTGGGTTGTTGTTCAGAGGGCCTACACTGGCCTCGATCACATCGATTTCCGGGGCGCCACGGGATTTTCCCGGGGTGGGATGATCGGCACCGTCACAAGTGCACGCCGGTAGACGCATGCCTGGAAGAAAATTGATACCATCTGGAGAACTCTGATTCGGCGTAATGCCTGCATCGCATCCGTCGTAGTAGCTGTATGGCCACGTGCCATCCGTGGTCGCAGCATAGCCTGGGCGGCCTAGGTTGCCCATCGCCCAGAACCCGGGCCAAAATCCAGATACATCTCCAGCTCCGGGCAGGGAGATACTGGCTTCCAAGCGACCACCGGAGAAGCACAGCTTATTCCAGCTTTGCACCATTCCCGAACGGTAGCCAAGCTCATGGTTTGTAAATGCATCGAACCGGATCTCCAACGATCCATCTTTCGTCGTGACTGCATCCGGGTCATACCACTATCAATCGGTTAGTCACGATGCATTGATGGAAGACGATATCGGTACTAGCCTCCAGGTCCTGCGTCACACCATACCAGAAATCCATGGCCTGATAATAGGCGTCATCCCCATCATAAAATGTTCGGCCAGGGGTTTCGAATTCGTCAGAGAACTGCTCCGGGTCAATGACTATTCACTATTGTAGCTCGCAGCATCTTCTTCCTGACTCACCACTAACTGCCATTCTTTCCCATCCACTGTCTTCTTTGTCATTGCTGATTCGGGTGTGTCAGGGTCTATCAATCCTGTCCTCAAGTTGGTGAGACCTGATCGATCCCCAACGTCAAGACACAGAGTATCGGCTGGGTCACATGTCGGCACGTATTTTTTTGATATCCCGCCCAGGGCAGTTCTAATGACCAGTCAGTATGCGTCCAATTTGAGCACGGCTCTGAGTCCAGCAAGTCATGGAAGACTCACATTACTGGGTAGGCGACAAATAACACTACAAAGCCCACCGTCATGAGAAGCAGCCCACCCAGATTGACCAAGCCCCGCTTATTCCATACATCGCACACAATGTCCTTGTCGTTTGGATCGGGATTATGCATATAGTCATCCTTCTCAACATCCTCCGGGAACAATAATAAACCTTCTGTTGGCATTATGTTGTACTTTTCCGTCACTGTTTGAGTGTTCACGTCATCCCCTTCACTTTCTGCACGCGAGGGCGCCCGGGAATCTTCGAAACGACTGTACAGGTAGGCTCTGGCATCATAGCTGACGGCCTCTGAGCTCCAGCTCGTCCGTCGCGAGGACCGAATGGACAGTTCGGGAGACCGCAGCTCCTCTCTGACGCGGTAGGGCCGCGGGGGTATTAAAAGCTCGGTTGATTCCTGGGGAGTGGGCGAGCCCCATGTCGTCGGGAACGTGGCTTCAGAGGCCGACTGCACCATGCCGGGGGTCAACGACCGCCCCATCTGCTGGGGCGGTACTGACACGTAGGGATCATCGGAGTCGGCGAATGGGTCATGTTGGCCCGAATTGACACGGATGTGAGGTGTCTCGCGCAAGATCGCCTCTTCGGACATCCTGCGAAATGAAGGTCCGCCTCGGGAGACCGGACTGGACGCTTTTGTATGCTAATTCTGAAGCTCAATGGTGCTTAAGCAGATTGGGTGTCAAGGAGCGGTTACCCAGTATACCAAGATCCCTTCTAGCTTGCTATATCACACGTCCTCCACTTCGCGTCCTTTGTGTTCCACCTGGTCAGGCAGATGCCCACCCTCTGGATACCAGGTATTTCACTGCAAGCCCAAATGTGATTGACGAGGGATGTCAACTGCTTAGTGGTAATGAGTGGCAATGAAGGCGCGATAAATATCGGGTGTGCCAATGCGATAATGAATGTGAAAGTGGTTGTCCGATGCCCGTCTATATCCTAGAGCCAGTGCATATAATCAACCCCGGAGCTGAGCACGAGGATCAATTGATCTGACGAATGGGTTGAACGGATGCGATATGACTTGTAGCTAAGGGATTGTGGGATGAGCGACAGGAAGGTAATTGTGCAGATAAAGAAAGAAGGAGTAGTGAACCGCTGAATCGCTCACAAGCCGAAGAATATCGCGGAGGCAGAAGTTGAGAGAGTGAAAGAAAAGAGAAAGCACGCGAATTGGAACCCAGATGAAGATGGTGACAGAGACAGCCGTGACGCAGGGCTCAAGGAAGGGATGGGCAGCGCACGAAGTGAAGGAGGAAGAAGAAGAAGAAAAATGAAGGTGTAAAGAGAGAGAATGGGAGAATGGGAGAATGGAAGAGAGATGAAGGTGTGTGGCAGCCAGAGTGTGAACAAACAATGTCAATCCCTCGAGTGGGCAAGTTGGTCCTACATGCATGGATGAACCCAAGCTTTTTCTTCCCTAAATTTCCTTGAATTTCCCCTTTTGGCACCAGAATGGAATCACCTTAATTTTCCCTGCTGGGTGACGGCGGCATTACAGCTGCAGGAGGGAGAGTAATTAATTACAGGAGGGTTTGGAGTGCAACAACATGGCGGAATGCATTAAATCAATTTTAGAGTCTAAAATCCCCTGGTGGGATTGCCAGGTCCAGAAAGGGCGGCAGCTGCATGGATGCTGCCTCGAATTGAAGTTATACTGCATCCCCCTCGATCCCCGTCCGTGGCTGCGGTCTCCCTTCCAATAATGTGATGAGCTGCTGCTGCACTCAACGCAGGTCCGGCCCAGTTACCGTATACACTTGCTTACGCAGTCAGTACTCAACTTCCTGATGAAAGGGCCAACTTTCCCCGGCAACCCTTTCCATGACAGATGAGATTCCTGAATGTTGGGAAAGAATCCGGTTGCCCTTGACTGGCGGGAATGACGGGCCCTGAACCATGGAATTCCATTCTGGGCCGAAAATACAAAGTTAGTCAATCTCATCTCGGGCGCATTAGTCCTGTTCGGGACTAGTCAGTACCAGGATGGAACGGCCACTAGTTCTCAAACTGATAACTTACAGTAACTTGCAGTTGCGCGAACTGGATTTAGCGCCGATCATCTGGTATTGTAACTTGGTAATAAACACGCCTTGATCTCTGTCCCTCTCTCCCTCCCGCATTCTTGCCGCCGTTGGCCATTGACGACTACATTCCATCTCTCCTGGCTGCCTAGATTATAGTCTTTGGAGGTGTATAAGATAGGCATCAAAGAATCGACAAGTGGTCCCCTGTTCAACTGACTCCTGCCCTGGATAATCCAACCTTATGATACCCCGTTGCCAGAGAGCACTTACGAGTCTCTGCTATCGGCCCGGACGGGTGTGCTCAGCCATTGCCGATGCCGCACTATTTCCATCAAAGGGATATTATCCAACCTAAATTCGCTGTTCTCGCTGGCTATAAGGTTGGTTCTAGAATTATCAGCCTGGCTGTACAATACGTGTCGACCAGACAGAAAGTCAATCCATGCGCTGACCACCAAACACGGGCTTCGTCGTGATCCAATGGATCCTGTGTAACGTACTATACTCAAAGGTTTGGGGCTAATTCATCTACAAAGCAGCCGTCTCATTGGCGATGTACCTGCTTTCTCGGCTAGGCGCTGAGGGTGGAATAATGGACCCAAGTTTATCACCCATCACATCCTCATAAGTAGAGGTGGAAAGATCCCCCGTATAGCGCTAGGAACTCCTGGCCTGTGCTTTGGCGGTTGTTCATCCCGCATGGACCACATTCCATTATTAGTCAACCAACTGATGTGAAATTGAGTCAGAGCTTTCAAGCTGTTTGATCAGTAGTAGTTGAGTTTGCAACTAAAATTGGCTTTATATTCGTGTGTAACCAAACCAGCCACCAACACGTCAGCTCTGGTCAGATCAGGTACAGCCAAGTCAAGTCCAAAGTCAGTTAAATCATGTGCCATGGCCCTCACTTTGTCATTGAGAAAATATATCAGTTACAGTATAAGCAGAGTATTTACTGCCCTAGTACTGAGGGCGCGAATATCCACGATTTACAGTGCCAGGCGCTTAACTACCCATCAGTTGCGCCTTGAATGCGACCTTTCGCCCACTGAAATATATTTTGGTCGGTACCACGACATATATATAGTAACATTTAGTACTTGTATAAACTTAATACATCTTAGTACCCGCTTATATGTTCCTTTCTGCACCGTACACTATACTCCATTACACTACTACCAACAAGACTATTAATGGGACACCATTAACAACTTGTGCCGACAAGATATATTCCCCGAATACTACACCAAATCAACAGTCTCTAACCAGTATACTAGCCCTGACTAGTACATTTACTAACCCTCTCTTGCCCCGGACTAGGCCCAACCTATTTGGTAGTACTTTATTCCTACTGAAAGCAACCGAACCTGAATAACTGCTCTCATTAACCACCTCCATAGCTAATATATACACAGTAATACATACAGCGATTATCATCGTCTATCAGTATTTAACCCCAAGTCCACCGACAATGCCCACAGCAGTCTGCAAACAACATCGACCACATTCACCAGTTTAAGCCCATCCACCTGAGCAGATAAGCCATACTTTCCTTCTCTCCCCCCGATCTCAATAGACACCTCCGTCACATAGAACAAACCCTAGGCTTCTCGCTGCATATCACCCACCCCAAGGAACATATCAATCATCAATCACCACACACTCACCAGCATGCACAATCACTCCTCCTCCTTTTCCTCCACCACCACCACCACTACCACCATTACTCTTCCCACCCTCCACACCTCTCTCTCCTCCCTCCTCAACCTTAACCTCCACCACTCTTTCTTCATCCACCACCCCCTCCACCACCTCTTCATCCCCCACAACCGCCCACCCCAAACTCGCCACATTCGCCGCCAAAAACCCATCAAACCTCTCCACCACCCCCCTAGCACACCCATCCACCACACACCGAAACCTCCCCTTAACCCTCTCCTTCACACAAACCGCCGTACTAAGCAACTGCAACGACCTCCCCACACCCAACGGCACCCACCCACCCCTCGACGCCAAATTAAAGACCATATACCAGACATCATGACCCCGGGGGATAGCCCTGCACGCGACCCGCCAATTCCCCATGAGCCTATCAAAGCCCGGCCACGAGATCGCGCAGATATTATTGCAATCGTTGTTCAGGAGCACGGGGTGTGTGGTGCTGGGCATGCAGGGCAGGCGGGGCGGGGTGATGCAGTGCATGTTGGGGTCAGTGGCGCAGTCGAAGAAGAATAGACTGTCCCGGTTGTGGGATGAGAAGGGCAGTGGGTGGGGGGAGCATGGGAGGTAGCCGATTTGCAGGTCGTGGAGGAGGTAGAGTCGGATGTAGTGCGCGTGTCGGGTGAGGAGGGTGTAGATGGTTTGGTTGGTGAAGGCGTGGTAGAGGGAGTGGGGGTCCCGGAAGGCGAAGATGTAGGAGGTTGGGTTGGTGATTATGATGGCGGGGTCGATTGTGGTTGTTGTGGGTTGGGAGTTGTTGGATAGGATGCAGATTGGGTGGTTGTTGGCGGCGTCGATGTGCAGGAGGATTTCGGTTTGGTGGTGCTGGTCTTGAACTTGGGCTTGGGGTGGGTAGGGGATGAAGTGGATTTCGAGTCCGGGATGGATTTGGGGTTGGGGTTGGGGTTGAGTTTGAGGTTGGATTTGAGGTTGGATTTGAGGTTGAATCTGGGGTTGGACTTGGTGATTGTTGTTCATAGTTTGATTCATGGGCTGTGCCAGTGTTTGGTTCATGGTTGGATTGTGTGGTTCCATTTTGTGGTGTATGGTTGTTCTTATAGTAATAAGGGTTGGATGGTAGAGGACTGAGATTGTTGAGATTGATGTAGTGCTTGTATGTATGAGAGGAGTAAAGGACGACGACGAAGACGAAGACGAAGACGAAGAGAAGAACGAAGAGAGAAGATGTAACGGAGAAGACAAAAGGGCTCATCTTGTAAAACTTTCTATATACTTAACCTAACACATCTTGCTGCCATATAGGGCATTCTGTTTATAGCCGTGAATGAGCTTTTATGCTCCAATCGCCCGGGTGTCAATCGTTCCGATGCATCATGATGCAATTATTGAGGCATAGTGAAGAGATTCACTCCGGCGCAGTTGTGCGTAACACCAGACTGCATATTGGTGGCGGGTTGAGCAGGTTTAAAGCTGCTATATGGAGATAAATGACTGACCCAGTTATACTAGCTACCGCTAGTGTGAAAATGGCGCTAATGATCAGAGTGGTGAATTGATGAGCGTTAGGGCTAGGACACTACTGCATCTAGGCGCTTCTGGAATGCATGGAAGATTAGCAAATAGTCATATTAGTATTGCTCATATCGATATAAGTAACGTCATTCTCAAAGCATGTTGTTGCCTCGACACACCATCATCCACCCATTACCCAAATTAAACCACCCGTGAAGAATGTAGCAATTCAACCAGATACAATCTAAGTCTCAATAGCCTTAGCCCTCAGCCCAACAACCAATCCCTCTGTCCCATCCAGCGCCAAAACAAAGTACTCCACTCTCGACCTGGCCACCTCAACCCGATAGACCTTCACAGCCGCGCCATCCTCATCCCCCACAGCAGCCCTGACAGCCCTCACCACCCCGGAATACTGATTCTTCGGGTCGAACGTCGAGAATGTCAATGTCTCAATGGAGTTGGAGAGGTCCGCGTCGGGAGAAACAAGGTTGGAGAGAGCAGCTGTTATCACATTTCCATTAGCTCAGATCGATCCAGTATACTTGAAACAGGCAACTCACCTGCATCAGGCCAGATCCCCCGCCCCGCATCGGGCCATTTTAAAGCAACAGGTTCAAACGGCTCATCGGTTTCGGAGACGTAGAAGGCATCGACAGAGGTGAGGGGCGTGGGGACGCGGACATTGGTGTGGATGGTTTGAGTGCGTGGGGTGGAAGAAGTATTGTCTCGTTGAGGCTGGAATTGGCTGGCATTGAGGTCTGCGTTGGCCTTGTTCAGGAAGGACATGTAGTCGTTGTCGGAGGACATGGTGCGAGTGTGAGGAGGGGTGATGATGGTGTTGGATGCTGGTCTTGTGGTTGTGGAGAGAATGTAGAGACTGCGTTGGATATGGGTTCGAGATGTATATTGATGGTAGCGGTGCTGGTGATATGATCGAGTAATCTGGATAGAATGTTGGAGCTGAATTGAAGAGGGGCGAGCAGAAGATGAGGAGGAAATTGAAGCCCAAGGCACGAGGGGATCAATGACGCAATGGCCAGTGCGGCTGAGCGGCCAGCGGCGCAGACTTGCGGCGGTCATCTGATTGGTGCCGGATTGGATAACAGAGGGAATGAATGAATGGATGGCTTCTAGAAGGATAGAGCGGAACAGGGACAGACAAGCAGCCAGTGAAGAGGTCGAAGGATGGATAGCTGGAAGAGCCCCTGGTCTTGGTCTTGAACGGGATATGGTGACCCGATCGAGGAAAATTTGCATCGGAGTCTACGCACACACCATGCCTTGCCTACACGCAGAACCTCCTATGAAGATTTTTCTGAGGTCACCTCTATACTGCACAGATGTTTCTAGGCAGATAACAGTTAAATCCAACACATTATTATTGCTACGTAAACTACCGTGACACCATAGGAAAAAGTGAAAGGTATTCTTCGCTTTTATTGAAACGTAATATAATTTGCACTACACCGAACCATTGCCATAAACACCTTAAGCGGAAGTCTCCAGGTCCTTCTTGAGGGTACCCATGAAGGCGCGCTTCTCCTCGGGGGTCTGGAAAGCACCGTGACCGAACTTGGAGGAGGTATCGATCCACTTGAGCTCGATCTTCTCGGTGGCCCTGCGGCTGGTCTGGGGGTACAGGGTCTTGCGGAGGGTCATGACACGCTTCTTAACACCGGGGACGGAACCCTTAAGGAGAACGAAGTCGTTCTTGACCTCACCGTAGTGAACGAAGCCACCCATGCTAGATTGTGTTGTTAGCGTCAATGCTTCTCAACCTTCAGGTAGAGGCTACTTACGGGGTGATCTGCTTCTTGGAGATGTCGAACTCGGTAGAGGCGTTACCCTCGTCGGAACCCTTGCCAACACGGAAGACCTTGTGGTTGCAAGAGGTACGGTGGTGGTAACCCATCTGACCAGCACGGGCAACAGTCCACTGGACGTGGTTAGGGTGCCAGGCACCGATACAAGCGACCTTACGCAGACCCTTGTGAGTCTTACGGGGAAGCTTCTTGGTGCCCCAACGGCTGGTGACACCCTGGAAACCGTGACCCTTGGTGACGGCGATGACATCGATCATCTCGTCCTTCTCGAAGATGGAGTCGATCTCGATGGGCTTCTCGAACAGGTTGCGGGCGAAGTCAACCTTGTCGGCAACGGAGCCACCGTTGACCTGGATCTCCATCAAGTGGGCCTTCTTCTGCTTGAGGGGAGTCTTGCGGACTTGAGTGTGGGCGAGGACACGGACGACAGTGCAGTACTTCTTGATGCGCTCGAGCTCGCGGGTGATGGAAGCACCGTTCTCCTCGGCGTGCTTCTTGGCGTACTTGGTGAAAGCCTTCTTCTTGCTCTTGTACCAGTTCTTGTAGAAGCGGCGCTTGACCTCGTCGCTCAGGTGCTCAGCCCAGACGGTGGTGAGAGAGCGGAGACCACGGGGAGTCTCAATGTAACCGACAACACCGACAGCGACAAGCTAAAAAATCAAAGTATGTCAGTCATTGAACGGATCCACATCACCAGGCCAGAAGAAAAAATCTTTTCTTCTGCCTTTTTCCTACCAAGGGGTCCAACGTACGGGAGGAGTCTCGATGACGGTAGCAGCCTCGACAACTTCCTTCTTGTGCATCTTGGCACCAGGACGGTCAAGGTCACGGACGACGGTGGTCATACCGGCCTTGTAGCCCATGGTGGCCGTCAGGTGGACGGGCTTCTTGGGGTCATCCTTGGGGAAGCTGCCGAACAGTTCAGTATATGTCCATCAAATCCCAACTTTTTCGTCTCGTCTTCGCAGTCGAAAAACTAACCTCTTGACCTTTCCGCGGTGGCGGGCGGCGCGCTTGCGGGGCAGGTAGGCAAGAGAGCCTGTCGAAATCCAAGTCAGTATACCATCCACACACAAGACCTCGAGATTCCAATATCGCTTGAGAGGTCGCAAAGTAGGTTGACGAACCGTGCCGAGGCGCTTCGTACTTCCGGTGACTCCTGTAAAATAAAATGAATCAGCGACATTATCCCTCGAGGTCAACAATTGCCATAATGCGGCAGGTCCTAACTTACATCTTGACCCTGTTGTCGTTAGTCGTCGAAGTGGTGAGTGAGAGTGTCTATCTCTGAGTTTGCCGAAAGTCGTATTTTGCACGCTTAACGAATGTGGGCTGATCTAAGCGAATTCTTGGCGGCTATTTCCCATTCGGGTTAAGCGACCACGGGACCGAGACCTGAGTGCCTTTCTGCCTCAGGCAGCCACAACCCACGGTCACGAGGTTCCTGCTGTCGGGCGAATCTCCCGGTCGGCAATATTACCAGATCCAGTGCCCTCCTCCAAGTGTCTGCGCCATTGCCCTACTTAGGGTATTCTGCTGCGTGCCCATCCACAATGTTGCAAAGGCCATCCATGCACACTATATACACTATGTTTATGCCGGAATCTACTGCTGACTATGTTGGCCAACGAAACGCGGCAGGCTGCAAGGCTGTACGATCACTGACGGAAAACCGTTTGACCTGGATTTGACCCGACATCCACCGGAGTCCCAGACCCAGAATTAAACGCCCCCGTAAGGACCGTCCCCACGATTGAAACGCACGGTGAGACTTGGCGCTTGGTAGCCTCCGTAGATGCTCGCCGCGCCCATTACCAACTTTCTGGTCTGGCTGATCTCCCAGTCTCATTACAATCTACCTGTTTCAATTACCCTTATCGTTGCCGTACGTGCGAGATAAATTATTATCGTTGGAAATGGAGTAGAATGTAGATCAATGTATTGGGGTTTCCGAGCTGCCCAGGTGAGTATATCACCTAGCAGGAAGTACTCATTCAGACACGCACACAAAATTGAATAGAACTTGGGAAACAAATGACCATCAAGACCGCCCCTCAAATGCCAATCCTACAATACAAACAAGCCTGGGTGGTAAAACAGTACATGAACGGAACTGCCACCGAAAGTCGGAAAAGAAATATATAGACGAATTCAAGGAAACAGAAGGGGAGCAAACGAGGGCAGTGTAACTTCTCATGACGAAAACTTTCATTCGGACTCTTCTTTCCTTAGAGCCGCGTTAAACCCATCGATCCACCTCACATAATACATCAAGTGGTGCCGCACCACAAGCTTCTAAACCGCAGATTCCGGCTTCGCCGGCGTAGGTGGGTTGCCAGCACTCAGAACACCATTGCTGCCGTTGTTGCTCGACCCAGCAGCATGCGGGCTTCCCTTCACCACAGCACTAGCTCGTTTCTCATCATCGTCATCATCGTAGTTTTCATCCACGTCCATCTTTCGCGCCGCAGGCTCATGTGCAGGCGCCTGTTCGCCGCGCGCGGGCTCCTCCTTCACCTGAACCTGAGCGGAAGAGGGTCCGGATGGCGGTCCGTTAGAAGGCGCAGCAGAGCTTTCGGCCATAGGAGGGAGGCTGGGGCCACCAGACGGGTGAGGGGGCATGTGCTGGATAGAAGGCAACGTAGGAGGGTGGTGGGCCGCCTCAGACGGATGGTAGTTCTCGTTGACGCGGCGCTGGTCCTCACGGCGGATTTC